TATGCCAGAATTCCTACTTTTCTTTTGTTACAATTCCAGGGCCAAAATACATTTTTGGCATAAGTACGAGATTGTTTAAAACATGCTCTAAATGTATTAATGATAAAATAGTAAAAGCCGTCTTTGTAACTTCAGAAGTGGGTGGAGTTTTGTTCATACAGAGAGGTACATTATGTTGATGTGTTTCAGCTAAGGGTAACATATTTTTCTATCTCTGAACTTGCCAAATATTACTAGGAATATCTTCCTTTTGAAACTCAGAATATGTAATTATCTTGACAAGGCCTTTGTACTCTGAAGTTGCTACATATTATATATATGCACATGTTTTATATTAACAAACACTTAAGCATCCTTCAATACAATAATTTTTTTCATTAATCTTACTTACAAACCATATGTTTCGTTACTCAAATAAAAATCATTACTGATGTAAAGTCTGAAAAATAAAGTTCATATTCTCCATCAAACCCTTTAAAATCAGAAAACATATTTTCCAATATACTATTTGTTGAGGCTTCAATGTTAGATTCATCACTATCTATCGAAGCCTCAGATAATAGTTCATTATCAGTAATTCATATAACGAATCTACATTAGATTCGTCATAATCAACCTGAATTTTCATGTTATCAGCTGATGTTTGCGAAAGATAGTAAGTATTGATATTCTCATGATCAAGCATTTTTTTGGGCTTCTTAAAATGATTTAAAGTTATATATTAATATTTAATGAAAAATAATACATCTTGCTATCCAAATCCAAATTATTATGGTCAAAAATATAATAAATTCCAATAATATTTGTAACAAATGAGATATAAAATGAATAAAGATAATGCCAAATATGTGGCCACAATATGACAATTCGAAAAAAGAATAGTGGAAATAAAGATGACGGTTGCATTAAAGAGTTTCAGCCAGAATTAAAACAATTGATAAAGTAATAGCAACTATTAATAGAAAAGTTTGATTTAAATAAGTCTTAATAAGATCGAATAAATAATAAATAGTCTTTATTTAATCAAATAATATATGTTTTTATGTATAATATATTGCAAAATATTAAAATTTTTTAATTTAATTTTTTGTAAAAGACAATTGCTTTTTTTAGGTATAGAATTTAGTTGACAAATATAGATATTTTTAAATATTTTTTTATGAAATTTAAAAAATATACTAATCTCATTTAACAAGGTATAGCCAGTGGTCAATATGCTCTTAGTTTCTTCATTAAAAGTTCTTCAGAGGACCAATAAGTATGTTCTATATTACTATGCTCTGAAGTTTTATCGATACAGAGGTTTCTTTGATTTCTTCATATTTAGTTTTATTCAGTTTAACACCAATTTTGGCACTAGTATATATGAACAGGTAGTTTTGTTTGAATGTTTTATCATAGTTATTTCAGTAATGCTATAGAGATAGCCAAGTTTTATCTTCTTCTTATTGGTTGTTGAATATTAATTGATAAGTTCCAATAGAGAGAAATTTATAGTAAATTGTTTAATCGATCCTATTCTATTATTGTTTACTGCTATTAATATATATCAGTGATTAATTATACTTTTGTATTATTATCATTCATTTAATTGACTCATGCTGGGCTATATATAATATTTAACTTTAATAGTAGAAACATAGATTATATAGCAAAGGGATAGCGATAATTTTTTAATAAACTTTTAAATAACTACTAATAATTTGTAGTGATCAGGTATCAAAGTATCGAAGGTGATGTATTATTCCTAAAGTTGCTATGCATCTACTTGAAGTTCTTAATTCAAGTGCATAGCAAAATTAAACTCTGTCTATATTAAATAGTATTTCTGGCAGGTACAACTCAAACATAACATCGTTTAAATGCTAATTCGGTTAAGTATTTAAGGTAAATCACATTTTAAAAAGTTGATTCAGCCATGATAATCATGTAAAGTAAATACAAAAATAGTATAATGGTGATATTACGTACAATGTAAGTTTATTTTGACAGATGCAAAAATCGATCTATTATGTAATAAATTATTGTA